CCCGGCATGGGGAAGGCGGGGAGTAGGCGCCGAGGGCGCGGCGGCCTGAGGCAGCGGCGCCGGGCGGGGGTTTCGGCACCGGTAAGTGTTTGGGAGCAGGAGCGGGGGAGTCCGGCACCGGGGGGGGGCTGCGGAGCCGGCAGCGGGGGAAGGGCCTGGCGGGGAAGGAGCCCCAGCAGCAGCAGCAGCTGCCTCTCGTCCGCCTCCCGCCCAGCCGGGGGGCCGGAGCGGGTTTTTTTTCAGCAAACGTGATAGTTGCCATCGCAACTGGCGCCATCCTCCCATCTAAACCTCCGGAGCCCCGTCTCCTTTTTCACCCGGCTGCCCCCGTAAGCCCTTCTGCACACATCCCGCAGGCACCAGCTTGCTGCCCTGCCAGGTTTCGTGCCATTTGGGGGGAGAAGATCAAAAGCAGTAAGCTTTAAATAAATCTTAAACCTGTAATCTGTTCTAGTAAACCTGAATGTGCCACCCTGTGCTCTGTTTCAGCCCATCGTAATGTACCATTTAAGGTCTTTCTTCTATCTAGCCAAGGTATTTTCATATGCTGTAGGAGACTATATTTAAGTGTTGATGTATTCTCTGTTCTTTCCCCTATGCTTGGAATTGCAATCTAAGGGGGGTTGTTCGGAGTAGGGTTTTTGGAATGGAAAGTTTGCAGGCAAAGTGGCTCTTCTTCCAAAATCACTTAATGCAAGTATCGCTGCTGCAGAGGTACTAGTTCCAGCAGGCGACAGACGTGAATGGAGAAATTGGAGAAGAGTATTTTTTTCATGGAACCAGATGCATTTGGAGCCCTTATACAGCAAGAGAATAGGTTAGTGAAAGCAAGGGAAATTAAAGGTGTCACGTATAATCCCACTGAAATCACGTGGCAGCTTTAGCGAGCTAGCACAAATACGGGTTGTTTTGTGGGTAGCAAAATGTTATCGGGGATGTACTGACAATTCACGGGGCTTACGCGTAGGGTTTGTATTTGAATCCTGTGAAGGGTGTGCTGGCTCTTCCCTGAGGCAGTGCTGTTGGATGTGACTCGATTAATTTAAGACATGGAATACCAGTTTGTTGGTTTGTGTGTAACATTTTCTCTAGTACTTAAGTACTAAAAACTCCTTTCATATAATTGCCCTTTCCTTTTCTTAAATACCTTTCATTATTCATTAAATTTTAATAAAAACTTGGGTTTCTTTGCA